AAGTCATCATTAAAGTTGCATATCTTTTTGTATGTTATGAATGAATTTCTTAAACAAAAATGTTAAGAAAAAGAATTGTTCAACTATATTTGACTCGACCTGCGAATAAAATAAAAAAGCGTACAAGTATTATATATATATATATATANGTTCAAGTTTCGGTAGACAGAAATTTACTTGTGCCGGTGGGATATAACAAGTACCTTGTAGAATAAATCGAGGTATTTGTAAGTTCGTTAAGACACTACGACTATAAAAAAAAAAGGTTTAGTAACTAAACAAGATGTAAAAGAGATGATGAATATAATGCGAATACGAAGGTGGTGCTAATTATGTATAAATTGTTCTACGTACATTTTATTTACTTTCACCGAAAAAGAACAGCCCTGCTTTTACCGTTTCTCCCCTCTATATCATTTTAGAAGGTATATTTTCAAATTCATACAGTTTTTCATGCTACGTACCACATTTAAATAAATTTGGATATAAATAAGTCATTATAACATTTTATATACGTTATAAATATGTGAATTTTTATTCAAAGAAAGCTTATAAGCTGATGTTTTAGTTAATTAGTACTAAACTAAAAGTTAAATGAGTTGACCCATATTTCAACCCCCTGCCATTATTAGTTTTCAAAAGTGCAAATAACATAAGTGTAGGTTGGGTTCAACCAAACTTAACTATGCTCATGTGTTTAGCTTGTGAATCTTGAACTTGTCTAGTAATTATTGGAAGTTTCTTCTTGATCCAACAATAAAGTGGGGTCCCTTTATTCATTTTAAGCACAAAACCAACTGCAATACTTTCCTTTTTGGTTTAAAGTACTGCAGTATTAGGGTGTGTTTGGTATCAAGGAAATTATTTTTTATGGAAAATATTTTTATGAAAAATGATTGGTATTATCACTTATTTTCCCTTGTTTTGGTTGGTGAGTGAATTTTTTTTTTTAAGAAAATATTTTCTAGTGTTTGGTTAGAGAGTAGAAAATAGTTTTTAGGAATTTTTTTATGCTACTCTCCACACTCTCCTTCCCCTAAGTCCCCATGTTTCATGTGCTCTCTCCCCCTCCCTTCCCCCCTCCCAAATACCCAACGTTTTCATAACTCTATTTTCTTTAAGAATTTAATTATTCTTCTAAAACTTCACATAAACCCAAAGGAACTAAATATGCTGCTCTACTTTTTCATGTAAAAATAATATTGAAATTTGTGCTCCATAACTAAAAAAAAAATACTACTTTTTGGTTGAAGTACTCTTACTACAACATGAAAATAAAGTACTCATTTGTTGAAATGAAGGAAAATATTTTTCCTACATTATGAAAAGGAAATACTTTTTTTGTTGAAATGAAAGAAAATACTTTTTACTACATCATTTTGTTGAAATGAAAGAAATACTTTTTCTACGTCATGAAAAGAAAGTACTTTTTTATTAAAATGAAAAAAAAACTTTTTATATCTTGAAAAGAAAATACTCATTTATTGAAATAAAAAAAAGTATTCTATCTATAAAATGAAAAGAAGGTATAATAATATTTTTATTTAGGGTAGGGGCGGGGATCGCGGGCGAGGGTAGGGTGGTGGTGGGGTGGGTTGGCGGGGATAGAGAAAGATAAAAAAGAGTTTTGGAAAATGCTTTCCCTTCTCTTGATGAGGAAATTGGAGGAAATATTTTCCTCTATGAGTTCATAAGGAAAATATTTTTCAAAATATTTAAGCCAACCAAACATGGAAAAATTAGAAAATATTTTCCTTCATACCAAACACACCCTTAAACATTGAGCCTAACTAAACCTCAAAAAAGTTTTTTGTAACATTCCGTAAATTCGGATTAGGTGTGGACATATTAAATGAGTATTAATGTTATATTTTAAACATGCAAGGTTCTATCGGGATGAGTATGGGTGGAAATAGTTGTTTTAAAATCAAGACGGAGAGTGAGATGCATAAGATTCGATAAAATCGACTAAGTTTACGAAATGTCTGTCTTCCAGTAAGATTTAGTGAAAATCTGTAAAGAATTTGGGAAAATGCAAAACATGAAATCTGTAGCCCTTTGAAATAACTTTGTAATGATATATTGTAGAGCCTAAGCGAATATATGTGAAAAAGGTTATGTATATTTTACTGGACAATGCGCAGTATCCGTGCCCAGCTAGTCCCGTGCGCGGCCGCGCACTTGTGGCAGTGCTACTGCCCTTGCTGCGCGTTCAGGTGCACAGGAGTGCACCCAGGGGGTCGTTTTAAAATCCCTACTTCGTCCCCTATATCCCAAAATACAAAAACTTGCTCTAGGAAGGGAAACTCTCAAGAACCTAAGATGAAACCTCAAGTTTTCACAGAGTCCAAAAAGGATAAGGATCCGCAAAACTTCATTGATGATGTTCAGAAGATATTTTGAGTGATGCATGATACATACACTGAGGTAGCAGAGCTTGCTTTGTATCAGCTGAAGGATGTTGCTAACACTTGGTATGAAACATGGGAAGAGTCCCGAGGGGAGGATGCGGCTCCTACGACTTGGAAGGAGTTTGCAAATGCGTTTCTTGAGCATTTTCTACCTATTGAGGTCTTGGAAGCTAAGGCTTTAGAGTTTGAGAGGCTCAGACAGAATGAGATGAGTGTGAATGAGTACTACCTCAAGTTCGTCTCTTTGGCCAAGTATGCTCCAGAAATGGTACGTGATATGAGGGCCAGAGTTACACGGTTTGTGTTGGGGCTTTCAGATGACTTGTTTGCTGATGCTAATATAGCTACTCAGAACAATGACATGACCATTACTAAGATGGTTGCCTTTGTTCAAGGGAACGAAGATAGGATGAAGGAAGAAGAGCAGCTACAGAGATTGAAGGACAGGGAGTTCAGCAAGAGAGCTAAGTTTGCATGAAATTTCAGCCATGGGGGATTTCAAGGAGGTAGTAATTTTCAGTTCTTCAGGAAACCAAAATTAGTACCGACTCCATCTTCAGCTAGTGTACCAGTTCAGAGGTTCAAGTTTAACAAGAAAAAATAAAATTTCAGAGCAGGCTCACAGTCATAAGATAGTATGGACTACAGAGTCCCTGGTTACCCTATTTGCAACACGTGTGGTAAGAGACACCCAATGGTGTGTCGTTCAGGCACAAATGGTTGCTTTGGGTGCGGTTAACAGGGAAAATTCTTGAGGGATTGTCCATCAGCAAGGCAGAATAATGAAGGCAATATTGCTCAGTCCACTAATTCAACAGCCCTTCAGAACTCTCAAGCGCAACAAGGGCGTGGTGCAGCAAAGTCTGGTAATACGGGCGGTGGTCGAAATCGCTTGTATGCACTAGAAGGCCGTCAGGATACAAAGGCTCGTAGAGACGTTGTCACAAGTATGCTAACAGTCTTTACCTTTGATGTTTAAACTCTTATAGATCCGGGATCCACCATATATTATGTAATCCCATATATTGCTAAGAAATTTGGGATATAACCAGAAAAGTTGTGTGAACCCTTTGAAGTGTCCACTCCAGTTGGAGAATTAGTTATAGCTAAATGTATCTATAGGGGATGTCTAGTCAAAGTGTATTATCGCCTTATTATAGCAGACTTAATAGAATTGGAAATGGTAGACTTCGATGTAATCATGAGCATGGATTGGTTAGAGTCCTGTTACGCCACAGTGGATTGTAGAACCAAAATAGTAAGTTTCGAATTTCCCAGTGAACCAATCTTAGAATGGAAGGTTGATGCAGTAGCACCTAGAGGTAGGTTTATTTCCTACCTTAAAGCAAGAAAGATGATTTCTAAAGGGTATATCTATTACTTGGTTCAATTTAGGGATGCAGATGCTCAGATTCCCACTCTCCAGTCAGTACAAATTGTAAATAAGTTCCCAGAAGTGTTTCCTGAAGATCTTACCAGAGTCCCTTCCGATAGAGAGATTGACTTTGGAATTGATCTACTCCCCGACACTAAGCCGTTATCCATTCTACCTTATAGAATGGCTCTAGCAGAGTTGAAAGAGCTAAATGTCGAGTTGAAAGATCTTCTAGATAAGGGATTTATAAGGCCAAGTGTCTCACCTTGGGGCGCACCAGTCTTGTTTGTCTGAAAGAAGGATGGTTCTTTGCGCATGTGCATTGACTATCGTCAGTTTAAAAGTCACCATCAAGAACAAGTACCCCCTTCCCAGAATAGATGATTTATTCGATCAACTTCAGGGTGCCCAGTGTTATTCCAAGATTGACCTCAGATCGGGGTACCATCAGTTGAAGGTTAAGGAAGTTGATATTCCTAAAACAGATTTATGGACTTGTTATGGGTATTTCGAGTTTTTGGTAATGTCGTTTGGTTTAATGAATGCAGCAGCAACTTTCATGGACCTTATGAATAGGGTCTTCAAGCCTTATCTTGATTTGTTCGTTATTGTGTTTATTTATGACATCTTGATTTATTCCCGTAGCGAGATTGACCATGCAGAACATCTCAAAATTACGTTGCAGACACTGCAGGATCACAAGCTACATGCGAAATTTCCTAAGCGTGATTTTTGGTTGAAATCAGTAACGTTTTTGGGCCATGTCATCTCAAGCGAATGCGTGAAGGTGGTTTTCAGAAAATAGAGGCAGTGAAAAATTGGCCTAGACCCACATCAGTATCTAATATAAGAAGTTTCTTGGATCTAGTAGGCTATTACAAGTGCTTCGTAGAGGGATTTTCCTCCATCTCATCCCCTTTGACTAGACTAACTCAAAAGAAAGTCAAGTTTCAGTGGTCGGATGCTTGCGAGAAGAGTTTTGAGGAGTTGAAGATGAGGTTGACTTCAACTCTAGCCTTGACACTACCGTAAGGAACCACATGGTTTGTTGTTTATTGTAATGCTTCAGGGGTTGGCCTTGGGTGCGTGTTAATGCAGCACGGTAAAGTCATAGCCTAAGCATCACGACTTTTGAACAAGGGGGAGATGATAGTACTTTGAGGTACAGAGGAAGGCTATGCATTCTAGACGTGGATGGGCTCAGAGAGCGGATTATGTCAGAAGCATACAATTCTAGGTATTCTATTCACCCAGGTTCCCCAAAGATGTATCATTCTCTTAAGGAGATTTATTGGTGGAACGATATGAAAAAGAATGTAGCAAATTTTGTGGCTATGTGTCCGAATTGTCAGCAGGTGAAAGCCGAACACCAGAGGCCTGGTGGTTTGGCTCAGAGTATAGAAATTCTCGTTTGGAAATAGGAGATGATAAACATGGACTTCATAACAGGTTTACCTCGCTCGTTTCAGAACCATGATTCGATTTGAGTGATTGTAGACTGACTTACCAAGTCAGCTCACTTCTTGATAGTGAAGACTATAGATTCAACAGAGGATTATGCCAAGTTGTATATCCAGGAAATTGTTTGATTGCATCGGACTCCTTTATCCATCATCTCAGATCGTGGTGCTCAGTTCACAATGAAATTTTGGAAATCCTTTCAGAAAGGATTGGGCACAAAAGTGAACCGCAACACAGCTTTTCATCCTCAGATAGATAGCCAGGCAGAGCGCACCATTCAAACTCTTGAGGATATGGATAAGGCGTGTGTTATCGATTTTAAAGGTAATTAGTATGATCATCTACACCTCATTGATTTTGCTTATAATAACATCTATCACTCTAGTATCAAGATGGCACAGTACGAAGCTCTGTATGGGCGAAGGTGTATATCACTAATTGGTTGGTTCGAAGTTGGCGAAGCGGAGTTTATAGGACCTGATTTGGTCTATCAGGCTATGGAGAAAGTCAACTTAATTAAAGAGCATCTGAAGATGGCTCAGAGTCACCAAAAGTCCTATTCGGATGTGCAACGTAGATACTTAGAGTTCCAAGTTGATGATTGGGTATTTCTGAAAGTTTCACGTATGAAAGGCGTTATGAGATTTGGGAAGAAGGGGAAGCTTAGTCCCATATATATTAGGACATATAGAATCCTGCGAAGGATCGGGCACGTGTCTTATGAGTTAGTATTGCCACAAGAATTAGCTTCTGTACACCCAATATTTCATATGTCTATGTTGAAGAAATTCACGGGAGACCCGTCTCTTGTGGTTCCTACAAAGATTATAGGGGTTAAAGATAGCCTGACTTACGACGAAATTCCAGTGGCTATTCTTGATCGTCAAATATGCAAGCTCGGAACTAAAGAAATTGCTTCAGTGAAAGTGCTTTAGAGAATCAGAAGGTTGAAGAGGCTACGTGGGAGGCCGAAGAGGACATGCACTCTAGATATCCCCATCTCTTTGAAGAGCAAGCAGAAAATGTAGAAGGTAACTAACCTTTTCATTTAGACCTTATATTATAATCTCCATGTCTTTTAGTTTTCAGTCAGCTCAGTATTCAGTCAATTCAGTAGTTATTCAGTTTAGTATCTCAGCAGTTCAATAATCATGTATTTATTCGGTTTAGTATACATGTGTTCATGACAGTTCAATATTCGCATGTTTCCATCAGACCCGGTTAAGGTCCAGAGTTAGCCGTAGTTATAGTAAGGATAATCGAATTCGAAGACGAATGATCCCAATGGGGAGATAATGTAACACTCCATAAATTTGGATTAGGTGTGGACGTATTAAATGAGTATTAATGTTATATTTTAGACATGTGAAGTTCTAATGGGATGAGTATGTGTGGAAATAGTTGTTTTAGAATCAATACAGAGAGTGAGGTGCATAAGATTCGATAAAATTGACTAAGTTTATGAAAGACCTATTTCTAGCAGGATTTCGTGAAAATCTGTAAGGAATTTGGGAAAACGCAAAACAAGAAAGCTGTATCCCTTTGAAATAGCTTTCCAATGACATATTGTAGAGCCTGGACGGATCATTGTGTAAACAGTTATGTGCCTTTTACTTGACAATGCGTAGTATGCACGCCTAGGTGCGTGCCCAGCTAGTCCCGTGCGTGGCCGCACACTTGTGGCAGTGCTACTGACCTTGCTATGCATTCAGGTGTGCATTTAGGCCTTCAGCTGTGTGGGAGCGCACAAAGGGGGTCGTTTTAAAAGCCCTACTTCTTCCCTCACAACCCAAAACACAAAAACTTGCTCTAGGAAGGGAAACTCTCAAGAACCTAACCTCCCCAAGGTCCCTCCACCATTCAAGGTGAGTTCTAATGGTCATTCTAAGTTAATTTTAATTCTCTAACACCTTATTAACATGGGTAAACCCTTTAAATCATTAGATATTTGATTGGGACATCATTGTTGAGAAAAGAAACTCTAGAACTCGAATTCAAGAGGATTGAACGTAAAACAGGTAATATCTTCACCATCTACTTGATTTTAGTATTGGATTAATGATTATAGACTCTAGTTCATGAGATATGAGTTGATGGGTGATAAATAGCCAAAAGTGCATGAATTTGAGTGTGTTTTCATCTCATTTGTCATGTGAGTTGCGGGAGATTACATGATATTTGAAGTGAATTATACTCATTACATATTTCTTATTTGTAGGAGTGAGCTTGAATGATAATGGAGCAAAAGATATCAAATTATTGCAAAAAGGAGAAAAATGAAAGGATTGGGAGCTTGTCTATTCTCGTGCGTGGCATGAAAACGGACGCAAAATAGGAGAAAAGTGAAGGCACAAAACAGCGAAGAGAAGCAAAGGCACGGATCGCTTCGCGGAATGGAAGAATTCAGAAGCTGAATCCGCGTCCATGGGCGCGCGACGCGCGAGGGCAGACGCAGATTCTAGCTTTTTCTATCCGAAGTGGGATTGAAAAGTTCCGCCCCTTAGCAAGCCTAAGTGATATAAATACATCAAAGAACGACTTTTTAAGGGTTACACAACATCTTTGAAGGCAAGAACAAGCAAGGAGCAAGACGGAAGATTCAGAAATGAGTTTTTATCTTTCTTCTTCCCTTATCTATTATTGGTGATGAATTCTTATATTGTAGTTATGAAAACAATTATGAGTAGCTAAACTCTTTATTCTAGGNTTTATGCCAGAAGCGACCTTGTATGATTGGGCACAACCCACCGCCGAATATCTGGAAACCGCAATTGCAGTCCCTCAGATACAAGCGGAGTCATTTCAAATCACAAACAACATGCTACATCTGCTGCAGAACAAAAGACTGTTCTCCGGGTCTTACATTGAAGATCCACAGCAGCATCTGAAAAGCTTTTTGTCAATTTGTGTCACTCAAAGGCAACCGAATGTGACACCGGAAGCAATTAGACTGTTTTTGTTTCCATTCTTAATGACTGGAGAATCTCAGACTTGGCTCAATTTGCTCCCCATAAACTCCATCACCACTTGGGAGGAATTAGTCAAGCAGTTTTTGTACAAGTTTTACCCACCCAATAAAACTGCCAAGCAAGTTGATGAGATATTGAGCTTCATGCAGAAACCACGTGAAACACTACAAGAAACATGGGAGAGGTTCAAAGGGATGCTACTTAAGTGTCCACATCATGGCATTCCAGATCAGATGTTGGGACAAAGGTTTTACATGAGATTGATAGATATATTGAAGGCCAATGTTGATGCTTCAGCAGGTGGAGCATTTTTGAGCAAATCATTTAGAGAGTGTAAGGTCCTGCTAGATAAAATGGCTCAAAACATTGAATGGATGACAAGAGATACTACAATCACCCCTGTAGTTTACTCAGTAGCTTTGGACCCAAATAACACCATAGCCGAGAATATGGCCACTCTGATGATGCAAATGAGTATCCTTACCAAGAATATTGATGAATCAGGCCAGAAGCAGGTACATATAGTTGACACGACTAATGTGGGCTTATGTACACTATGCCTAAACCAACCATATGTGTGCTCGTGGAGTGGTGAAAGTGACAACCATAACTATCAAGAGTATATGAAATATGTGGGCAACTATGGAGGCCAGAGACAAGGTGGTCAGACTTGGGGACAACAGAATTAACAATATAGGCCAGCACAGCAGCAGTATAATAATAATAATAATAATCTTGGAGTTGCACGACTATAGGGTCAGGATGTGCCTTATCAAAGGCAACAAGGGTACAATCAGCAGAATCAACAACTAGCTTATCAACAACCTCAACAGTAACAGATAGTGCGACAAGATGATGGGTTGTTTAAAATTAAAGGAATGCTGCAACAACTCATTGGGTCCAGTGGGAAAATGGATGAAAAGGTCCACGAGATGCAAGAAAAGGTAGTATCACACGACTCAACTATCAAGGGTATTGAGATTTAACTAGGGCAGATATCGATGGCTCTGAATAATTGGCCTTAAGGGATGTTACCTGCAGACACACATGTCAATCCGAAAGAGCAGGGCCCAAAGCAGCTTATGGCGGTGAGTCTAAGAAATGGTAGAGATCTTGATCTAGAGCAAGAAATTGCTCGCGAAAGCCGACCAACTGAGATACTTGTGCCAGTACCAATTGAGGTGGACAATTCAACAGGTTTAACAAAGGTAATGGTACAACATGCACAAGATGAAACACTCAAAGAAAAAGAGGTTGCGAAGGAGCCTGAGAAAGTGCAAGAGAAGGCATCATAAAAAGTGCCGGAGCAGGATCTAACTCAAGTCACAGGAAGGAAGCGACCTCCAACACCCTTCCCATAGAGGTTGGCTAAATATCATAAGGATGAGCAGTACAAAAAATTCATGGAAATGTTGAAGCAAATTCTGGTAAATATTCCTCTAATTGATTCTTTGAGGGAGATGCCCGGTTATGCAAAAATGATGGAGTACTTGATGTCACGCAAGTTCGACTTTTAAGACTTAGTAACTATGACATTGAATCAGACCTGTAGTGCTATTGTGACAAGACCTATAGCTGAGAAGCTATCCGACCCTGGAAGCTTCACAATTCCATGCACCATATGTAGCTATGCATTCGCCAAAGCATTGTGTGATTTGGGGGCAAGCATAAATCTGATGCCATTGACTATCTATAAAAAGTTAGGCATTGGAAGATCAAGGCCCACATCGATGTTACTATAGCTAGCTGACCAAACGGTGAAAAAGCTATCTGGTATACTTGACGATGTACTTTTACAAGTTGGAAAGTTTGTGTTTCCGGTAGATTTTGTCATTTTGGAGTGCCAGGTTGATGAGGAGATTCCAATAATTCTGGGAAGGCCGTTCTTGGCCACAGGAAGAGCTCTGATTGATTGTGAAACTAGGGAGCTGAAGATGAGACTAAATAATGAAGAAATAACATTTAATGTATAAAAGTCTATGCGGCGACCCAGTGAGTTTGCAAACTGCTCTTTGATAGAAGCTGTGGATGTGATCATGGAGGAAGATGCCGAGGCACTTATTGCAAATGACCCTCTTGCGGCATGCCTCATGAACTTAGAAGAGGTAAATGGTGAGGACTTGGCAGAGTGGGTGTTGGCTCTTGAAGGCCAAGGGTACTGGAAAAGAGAGCTCGAATTTGAGTCTTTACACTTAGAAGAAAGAAAGACCCCTCCAGCTAAGCCATCGATCAATTAGCCACCACAGTTGGAACTGAAACCACTACCATCTCACCTCAGGTATGCTTTCTTGGGACCTAACTCGACTTTACCTGTTATTATCTTATCTGGTTTGTTTGATATGCAGGCATAACAGCTTTTACAGGTGTTAATAGAGTGCAAGATTGCAATTGGTTGGACCATTGCAGATATTAAGGGTATCAACCCAACCTTTTGTATGCATAAGATTTTACTGGAAGATGGGCACAAACCTTCCAGAGAACATCAAAGAAGGCTGAACCCCAATATGAAAGAAGGAAGTGATCAAGTGGTTAGATGCGGGAATTATTTTTCCCATCTCTGACAGTAACTGGGTTAGCCCAGTTCAGTGTGTTACAAAGAAAGGTGGAATGACTGTGGTGCAAAATGAGAACCACGAGCTGATCTCAACAACAACAGTCATGGGATGGAAAATTTGTTTGGACTATAGAAGATTGAACAAGGCCACCCGAAAAGACCATTTTCCCCTACCGTTGATTGATCAGATGCTAGGTAGATTGGCAGAGAGGTCCCACTTTTGCTTTTCGGATGGATACTCGGTGTATAATCAGATTTTTATTACCCCGGAGAATAGAGAGAAAATGTCATTCTCCCCGGAGAATAGAGAGAAAATGTCATTCACCTATCCATATGGCATCTACGCCTTCCGGAGAATGCCGTTTGGCCTATGCAATGCACCCGCTACATTTCAAAGGTGCATGATGGCCATCTTCACAGATATGGTAGAGGACATAATAAAAGTTTTTATGGATGATTTCTCAGTGATGGAAAACTCGTTCGATGACTGCCTTAGGAATCTGAAAAGAGTGCTGAAGAGATGTATGGAGACTAATCTGGTGATAAACTGGGAAAAGTGCCATTTCATGGTATAGGAAGGTATAGTCTTGGGGAACCTAGTGCCAAGTAAAGGCATTGAGGCAGATCGTACAAAGGTTGATGTAATATAAATGTTTCCACCACACACTTCCGTTAACTCAATAAGAAGTTTCCTTGGCCACGCCAATTTCTACACACGCTTTATAAAATATTTTTCCAAGATTGCTAACCCTTTGTGTAAATTGCTTGAAAAAGATCACCCCTTTGTGTTTTCAACTGCATGGTAGCTTTTGAGGAATTGAAGAGGAGGCTGGTGTCTGCACCTATCATAGTTGCACCCGATTGGGAGCAACCATTTGAGTTCATGTGCGATGCAAGCGATTATGTTGTAGGAGCAGTGCTGGGGCAGCGAGAGGAGAAGGTCATGCACCCAATATACTATGCAATTAGAACTCTGAGTGGTGCCTAAATAAACTACACAATGATCGAGAAGGAGATGCTAGCAGTTGTGTTTGCATTTGACAAATCCAGGTCATACCTGATAGGCTCGAAGGTAATTATTTATACTGACCATGCTACCCTCTGGTACCTAATTGAGAACAAGGATTCAAAGCCACCCCTGATTCGATGGGTGCTGCTACTACAAGAATTCGACCTGAAAATCCATGACCGAAAGGGAACGGAGAACCAAGTGGCAGATCATTTGTCCAGGTTGGAAGGAGCGGAGAAGAAGGTTGAGGTAGACGAGATCGTGGAAAATTTCCCGATTGAACAACTGTTGGCCACAAGTCTTGAGGTAGCGTCATGGTATGCAGATATTACAAACTACTTGGCAAGCGGTATTACCCCCCTTGACCTATCCTCTGTACAAAAGAAAAAGTTTTTTCGTGATTGTCGTATGTACTTTTGGGATGGGCCTTATCTGTTCAGGATTTGTGTTGATAACATAATTCAGAAATATATTCCCGAGATAGACCAATCTTCTATTTTGCAGGCTTGTCACGTATCCCCATATGGTGGCCATTTCAGGGGAGTAAGGACATCGACAAAAGTGATGGAGTCGGGCTTCTACTGGCCGACATTGTTCAAAGATGCAAACTTCTGGGTGAAGGGTTGTGATGAATGCCAACGGACCGGGAATATTTCCCGCCGACATGAGATGCCCATGAACCCAATTCAGGAGGTGGAAGTGTTTGATGTATGGGAAATCGATTTCATGGGGCCTTTTGTCAGCTCATATAGAAACAAATATATACTCGTAGCTGTGGACTATGTGTCAAAATAGGTAGAGGCTGTGTCGTTCCCTACAAATGATACAAAGGGGGTCGTTGGTTTTTTAAGAAAGAATCTATTCACCTGGTTTGGCGCTCCAAGGGCAATAATCAGTGATGGAGGCACTCACTTCTGCAGTCGAGCCTTCGAAAAGTTGTTAAAAAAATATGGCGTGCGCCACAAGGTTGCCACCCCATATCACCCACAAACGAGTGTGCAAGTGGAAGTTTCGAACAGAGAGATAAAGAGCGTTTTGACAAAGACCGTGAATGCTACAAGAACGGATTGGGCGAGAAAGTTAGACGATGCACTCTGGGTCTATCGTACCGCTTTCAAAACTCCGATTGGCATGCTGCCGTATAAATTGGTATTTGGGAAGGTGTGTCACTTAACCGTGGAGTTGGAGCATAGAGCTTTGTGGGCATTGAGGCAGCTAAATCTCGATATGGAAGCTGCGGGTACAAGTAGAGTCATAGAGTTGCACGGGCTTGATGAGTTTTGCTACCATGCTTTTGAGAGCACAAGACTATACAAGGAGAGAATGAAGAT